TTTCACCCGGTAGCGTTCATGTCCAAAAGCTTCACGGATGTAGAACGCAACTACGAAGTGTACGACAAGGAAATGCTGGCGATCGTCCGAGCCCTTGAAGAGTGGCGGCACTTCCTAGAAGGCGTTGAAGAGAGGGTTGAGATCTACACCGATCACCGCAACCTGAGCTATTTCCGGACGGCCCAAAGGCTGAATCGACGCCAAGCCAGATGGACCCTCTTCCTCTCCCGCTTCCACTTCACCCTCGTCCACCGTCCTGGGAAGCTCATGGGGAAGCCGGACGCACTCTCCCGTCGTGCTGACCACCCGAAGGGGAGAGACGACAACGAGGGGCTAACTTTTCTCCAACCCGCCTGGTTTGAAGCCCGCGCGACAGAGGCAGTTTCGGTAGAAGGTGAAGAGGCGGGTATTCTGGGAAGGATACGTGAGGCAAGGGATCATGATGAGAAGGTAGTGAAGGCCATGCGAGAACTGGGTGAAGGGACATTAAGGTCGGACGAATGGGAGAAGCAGGGTGACCTGATCCTGTACCGGGGAAGGGTGTATGTCCCAAAAGATCCCCAGCTCCGCCATGACCTGGTACGGCTACACCACGACTCACGGGCGACGGGGCACCCAGGGCGATGGAAAACCCTGGAACTCGTCTCCCATGACTACTGGTGGCCCCGGTGAAGGAGCGGAGCTGGATCACCTTATGTAACCAGTTTCCTACGTCCAATAACGATATTAGAGTTTGTGCTGATTTGCATACTGACCGTGTTTTGGTTGCCAAATATATGATTGTTCACTGTCTAAACAACAATAAACACCCCCCAACGATCTCACCTGATGTATAGATCGTCTACGGATAAAATTCTATATTGACTTTACTATGATTTCTAGTCAATATTACACCTATATTTACCACTTTTCAGTAGGATGTGATTTTCCTGATAATTTACTGAAGGAAAACTGCTAATAAAATAATTCCGCAATAAATGTTACTCAATACAGGAGTGACCAAACTGCTCTTTCTATCGCTTAGAGTGCGTGCTAGTTATCTAGCAGGTTCAGGATCGCTCACTTTTCTCCTGTGGTGTGATAACCAAGTATTGCTGAGAGATTATTCAATTAAGAAGTCCCTCCACCAAATTCTCACTAATTCTCACTATGACACTTTTGTTCAGCTGTGTCTAACTGACCCTAACTCACGCTTAGAGTGACGTGTTAGTTTTATATTAGCTAACAACTAATATTTGCTTTTATCTTTTGGAGCAAACAAACCAACCACTGGTGAGGAGAATTAAACTTTTATTTCTACCTGAGGTTTGAGAGGGGGCAGAAGCGGTGGCCTTTTATGCTTTTCAGAGGCCTCTCTACTCCCACGCCTCGCACTAGTTACATGTGCTACATTTGTATTATAGATAGTTCTAGAATGATATAGGGGGTTGGGCTGTGTAAGCTTAATAATGGACTTAGGACATGACTCAGCAATAAGTAATTCATTTCTTTGTCTTTTGGGCCGATCTCAGCGGGATCTTGTAGCGCAGAAGCTATGCTCTACACCGCCTTAATTACGAACGGTTATCTTTAGAAATGACTCGGCTATAAAGGAACTTTCTAGACTGTTCTCTAATTGACCCCTTTTTGTGAAGCCACATCATTACTAATGTTCTAGAGCCTTCCCAATTAATTAACTGATCCGCGGACTTCTGAATCACTTCATGCTTATGATCCGAGATCCAGATCATCAATCATTCCTTTGTTCCGATTTATTTGGGCTTAAAATCAAAAAGTTTTGATGAATCATGGGAAAATATACAAGATCCGGTTTTTTAGCATTTTCTCCTCTTCTGATGCGATCAAAAACTGTCCGCCCGCGCCGGGGAATACTCTATCATATGGTATTCGGTCCGCCAGACTCCCGGGCGCCAATATATTTCCCTTGAGTCACATTACCTTTTGTAAGAATTAGCAAATAAATATATATGAATTATAAGGTGTTTCGCCGTTTGAGCGATATCTCCGTCAGTTTTGAAGCTTTTAGAATGAAACAAAACCGTGGATAAAGTTAAGAAACAGTCCTTCCAGATGGTAAAAAGATTACAGTCAAAAGTTTACTGGTTCCCGAGATATTTACATTTCTTTCCCAATGTTCCTTCTTATTCTGCCGTCTATGTGCTATTTTCTTGTTGTAGGGATATATTCTTTGAATATTACACCTATGTCAAGTTCTAGGCATGATTGTAGTAGATTAAATCTCATACTACATGGGTGTAGATATTTTATAATGATCTTCTAATGTCTGTCCAGTCTCATAAAGATCATGAGATCTGTTAAACGTCTGAACTTGTCACCTGTTCGTTGACTATTCTGATAGATCATTGTTTTATTCTTTGAATATTATTTCTCCTACACCGGATGGCTGAGTATGTCGGACGATATGTACGCGGATGCGACACCTGCAATCGCGTCAAACCCTTCCCCTCACAAAAGGTTGGGAAACTTACCCCGAATAAGATCCCCACCCATCGTTGGCAGGTCATCTCAGTGGACATGATAGGGGAGCTCCCAGAGTCCAGAGGATATAATGCCATCCTGGTCGTAGTAGACCGGCTGTCCAAACGCATCCACGCGGTCCCCACCGTGACGACTGTGGACTCGGAGGGTATCGCACGACTCTTCTTGGAGCATGTCTGGAGACACCATGGGCTCCCGGAAGAGATCCTCAGCGATAGAGGGAGCGCCTTTGTCTCCCGCTTCTCGAAGGAGCTGGCAGACCTCCTAGGTGTCAAGCTGACCCCTTCAACGCCCTACCACCCCCAGACGGATGGACAGACGGAGCGGGTCAACCAAGAGATCGAGGCCTACCTCCGGGTGTTCGTCAACCACCGCCAAGACGACTGGGCGGACTGGCTCCCGCTAGCAGAATTCTCCTACAACAACCGCGTTCACTCCTCCACTCACCGAACCCCCTTTGAACTCGACACCGGCCAACACCCCAGGATGGGGACAGAACCCACGCGCACATCCGAGGTGGAAGCCGCCAATGCATTCTCGTCAAGGATGATGAAAATGCAAGAGGAGGCAAAGGCAGCCCTAGAGCACGCAGCGGACGAGATGGCACGATATTACGACCGGGACCGTGACCCGGCCCCTAAGTATCGAGAGGGCGACCAAGTCTAGCTCAATGCCTACAACTACACGACCGACCGTCCGACTAAGAAACTGGACCACAAGTGGCTTGGCCCCTTTAAGATCACCCAAGTCATCTCCCCGGCCGCCGTTAAGCTCCAGCTCACCGCCCGACAGAAGGGAATCCACCCAGTTGTGTCCGTGACGAACGTCAGGCCACACCTCCCGGACGGTATCGCAGAAAGACCCGCTGACCCACGCCCAGGCCCGGAACTGGTAGAAGGAGAGGAAGAGTATGAGGTCGAGAAGATACTGAACTCTAAGTGGCTACGCCGGAAACTCTGGTATCTGGTAAAGTTCACTGGCTGGCCGAACTCTGAAAACCAATGGCTCCAGCGGGACCACCTAACCCATGCCCCCGACCGAATCGAAGAATTTCACAGGACGCACCCCCAAGCCCCAGGGAGAGAAAGGGAGAACCACCTGGCCGCTTCGAGGCGAAGCGGCTTAAGGGGGGGTGATGTCAGGGCACACCCGCCTGACCTGGCTCCACCTGGCCCAACCTGACCCGGTACCCCGCCGGTCCACCCCTCCTTACCTCCTCCCCCTTTCCCTTCTTCCCCCTCATCCTCCCCTCCTCAGTTTCTCCTTATCTTACTTCCCCTTTATTCTCTCTTTATTCTACACGGACGACTTTCTCTGTATCAATGTACAACTGACCCATCTGCAGCGCGCCCACCATGTACCCGGCCCAGGCACCTCGGGCGACTTCCCACTGTGCCCAGCACGCGCGCCTGCACCGGATACCCTCGGGATCTCCCACGGAGACACCCGGGTGGTTACGGCTGTGTGCGAGGGTGACGTGGCACCCGTCATGTGATCCAAGCCGCATGTATATAAACGAACCTGAAGTGGGAACCGAAGAAGTAGCCTTCTTCTCAACTTTCCACTTCAGTCTAAGTGGCCAGGGACCGCTGTCCCACATCAGGCCTGTCAGTACGCACGCCTGATCCGCCCCCCGCCAGGCTCTCGGTCCCGGACGCTATACCCGGACCCCCTCGACCCCGGACGAGTCCCTGACAGTTAGAAACACCCTAAAAGCCGGCCTTAACACCAAGCTCCAGCAAAACATCACCCTAACCAACCGAAAGAAGTATGGTAGTAAGGCCCTCCCAACAAATCTAATACTACACACGGTAACTTACTGAATGAAGAGAGGCAACTGGACAACTGGCTGAACAGCAGCGGGGTTTTAGTGGGTATACCGGACCCCCCATGATTGGGGGCACCTGAGAGTCCCACACAAGCGTGCATAATCGCATTCCTCACAGCAGCAGTTCCAGTCCAAGCCCGATTCCATTCCCGGGGATCACCTGACCCCAACACAAACCCCAAATACAACATATTCGCGAAAGCTACTGGGGTTCCACAAAAAAAAAAGAAATGCTCGGTGTCAAGCTCAATTCAAATTTGACTTAGATAAATTCCAGTGCACCTGGATACCTTCAGCTAGTTCCGAAATGGATTTTTTTTTACCACTTTTTTTTTCTGGCACATGACCGGTTGCATCACCCACTGGGGGATGGAGTTAGGTTTAGTTGCACGACACAAACCAGGAGCCCACGCAAAATGATAAATAACGCCGGGCTCCTCTTTGCACTAAGGATAAGGGATCTTACTGTATTTACACACTCGTGTAAAATTGAACTTACCTGGTTCGGTGACTTCTCTAGCTACTTCATGAGTTCATGAAGTCTCTTATCGGCTTGAGCCGGTTTATGTAAGGCCTTCAGACGCGTCTCGGTTCCGAGTCTCAAAAAGTCAATTCATGCGCGCACGTCAGAATATGTTACTTATATCATCTAGGTAAGGCTAGCGTCCCTAGAGTCTAGACTCAACCCCCCTACGAGATACAGTGTGGGGCAAACCACACATTTCCCGTAAGGCTCTAAACAAACAAAAAACGGCCACAAAAAAAAAGAGATTTGATATCTATCGAGGGTTAAGTGCTTCTGTGAATCTAGGAAGACGATGCTCTTGGAGGAGACCACCACATCCAAAAGAACGATTTGAAGATAAATGAAGGAGTCAGCAAATCTATACCGGGACTGAATCCGCCGAACACATGAACAAAGATCTCATATCCACTTGGATCCTACAGACAACACGGGCAACAACGTACCCCAGACCCGATTCGTTAAGTGTGTTTCTTATAACACAAAAGAGAAAAGCACTTACATAAGCAAGAGAGTGTAATAACGCCTCAAAATATCTCCTAAAGCCTTTGCCAGTCTCCAACGTCTCCCCAGGCTGAGGAACGGTAGACTCGTAGCCATAATCGAGAATACGATTGGTATCGAACATGCCCTTGTCAATGCGAAGAATACGGTCAAAGTACGAACGAGCGAAGCGTTTGGGCAACTCCACTAGTCGCTTTGTTGTTGTTGCCTTCTGTAAGATGGAATTGAGAACGGTTGCGTTATACAAGAGTTTGGCTACGCCCTGCCCGAAGATCGGGTTTACTCCTTTAGTAATAATAACGTTTAGCAAGTATTATGAAAAAGCCATGCAAGAGGGGTTATTTAATGTTGTTCAGGTATATGTAAGGGTTTGAGGAACTTACCCATCACGGAATCACCAATGGCGATGAAGTTGTTCGGGACGGTTTTAGACCCATAATCGATCCAAAAGGAGGAAGTCTGAGCAGAAAAAGAAAAAGGAATATATAAGAATTCTTGTTCATTTTATCTTCAATGTAGCACGCGCGACGCGAAGAACTCATGTTTTCAAAAATCTTACCATGGTATGACCATCCCACTGGATAGGTTCGTCGAGGATATCAGCATCTTCTCCAAGGAGTCGTAATACGTCGAAAAGCCATTCATCTTGCTGGTGGCGCTCCTTTGAAATACTCTTGTTGTGCAATTGTCTCGCTGTTTCAATGTACTGAGCCAAGGTCTTAGGGCAGCTGTCGACATTCCACCCCGAATACCCAATGAGTACTGCCGCAAAAAAAAAAGGAAAGGAAAGGAAAAGGACCGTAAGCCAAGGGGGGAAAAGTGTACTAAGCAAGCCTGGGTGGTTGGGGGAGGGGGGAGAACTCACGTCTGTTCCCTTCGATTCGCTGATAAGCGAAAAGGTCTCGACTAATTTCAGGCGTTGGAGAAAAAGCACCGATGACAGCGCACTTATCCCACCTCCCAAAAGACCGGTCATCTTTGGGTAACGCCCTCGATACCTTTTCTTGCGTTTCGGGAGTAAGAAGAAAAGAGGCAGCATAATGTTTCGCATTGGGATTGTACGAAGTACGGGTGTAAGGACCCCATTTCTCGCTAGCGGCTGGTAATAATTTAGAGCCAATAGTAGACGGGCCTGCGCAATCGACGAAGAGTATGCATGGTATGGTATTGGAAGTTGCCTTGGTGGTGGGTGCTTCTGAGGAGGGGGAGGCAGAACGGTAAGAAACTGATTGGATGGTTGTTTTGTCGGGCGAAGCTTTGAGGCCGGTGACGGTTCCTTGAATGACTTGAAGACGTTTACCGCAGTATGCAATGGACAAGCGTCGACAGAGACGTTCAAGGCTGGAAAGAGAACGTGACCCCGACGACAATCGTCTCAGTTTTGGGAGGGAAAAAAAATACGATGAGCATAATGAACAAACTTACGAGATTCGCGAGCCACCAATCTGTTCAGGCCTTTTTGATTTAAAGTCCCCGAAGTAATTCCTACCGATCCACCAATGTCTCACTCCAGGAAAAATGTAAACATCATCCTTTGGCGCTTCGTTATCGAAACTTGGGTAAAGTTTACGAAGAATTTTGAGAGAGATGGCTAAGAGAAGATGGTAGAGGGGACGTTGTGGAACTCTTCCATTAGCCACTACACCGCTTTCAGGGTCGATCAGAACGATTGTCTGAAAGTAATCGGCTAAAATCCTTGCGGAAACGTATCCGGAGAAACTAATAATAATAATAATAATGCAAGATGGTGTTGTGCTCAGGACATTGGGTTTGTGCGTGTGTAGAGAAGACTGGTTATTGGGGGGGCCCTTACTCACCTGCCTCCAGCGATAACGACGGTTCCTGGAATCTTCTGGGCAGGTGGAGCTTTGCCTAACAGCTCAATGTCATCGAGCGCCGTGTTGTTACTGATAAAGTAACGTCGAAGGAGGTTCCACGACAACCTGTACCACCCGTAAGACAAGATAGCCACCCAGATAAGCGCTTCAGTCCAAGCCATTATGGTGAGAGGACGGGAGAGAGGGGGGCTTGAAAATAGCGAGGGGCTCTATTTGTATCTGCAGGGTCTGCGCGAGATAGATGCATACTGTATAGTGAGTGATTCTGAATCATTCGCTTCCCTGCGCTTGTCGAACAGCGGGCAGCACTCCCTGGCCGACTCATTCTATGCGTCGTGAATCCATGCGAAGGATGAGTATTCCTATGCGAAGGATATGTAAGTACACTTTTGGCAAATGCATCTCGTGTGAGCGATTTGCAATGGGGTACCAAATCGAGTTCACGTTTCTCATGGAGGTTGAAGCAAATTCAGTGAATCGGAAGAAAATCTCCGAGAGGTGTCTTTGATTTCAATTCATTTTCTAAATAAAAAACGACAATAATGGTGTTTGCCCGATTCAGACAACCTGAGGGGCCCTAACGCCGCTGACAAGATTACACAATCCTGCATATATGTATGTATCACTCCGTTGTTCTTGTTATACCGTGATGTATGTAGATACATTTCATCAATTTCCAGCGCGTTGCAGCTGGTCGGGACCTGGGGCTCATAGATCTCATTTTTTTTTGACGTCTGCAACCGGAGCAGGCATCCGGCAGCGAAGATCATATCACCCGCTGAACCCTTCAACACCCATTTTTGGGAATTGCACATGCAGTTTTGGACACTCAATTGCAAAAAGGCGCTCTTTGTATTACGTATATCGAGATTGTACCCCTTGGGCCACCATTCATTTTGTGCCTTTTTGGATAGTCACATGACAATCTCGATCATTTATGTAGAATCAAGCAGAGTTGACAGAATTTATTCGTCTATTCGTCTATTACGGAGTTGCTATCAGTCAGTCAAAGGAATCCGAGCACTCTTCTGCTTCTGACACGAAAGAACACAACGAAACGAAACCCGTGTTTCGTCAGAAGCATGGAGAACCACCTTGAAGCTACCACCTATCCAATCGATCGCGGTTGCGCTTGGGCGGTGAGGGTGGCACATTGAACCCCGTGGTGCGGAACTGCGGAGCCGTCCTTTGAAGGGTCAGCTCCGGAGAAGAATCTGCGAGAGCAATCAATTCATTGGCAAACATACTTCAACCCCCACAGTTCGAATCTTTAGTTTTCCTTCCCAACCCTCTTCTTTTTACACATAAAGCTTCGAGATAGAGATGATGGTCTTCACTGCGATTTTGCAACTTCTTGCTTATATCGGCGTCATCGCCGCCGCCCCTGCATCACCATTCGATGCTAACCATGGTCTTGCCCTCCTGGGGAACGGCTTGCTAGCTCATAATAAAGATGGCGCGGCGCCAGCTCTCCCGGCTGAATATTGGGGTGGCGTCAACTTCATCTACGACTTTAGCAAGATTAATCCTCTCAATGCTACTGAGGGGCAAAGAGTCAACATAGGGCTTCTCGGGTATGTTTCTTTTTCTTTTTCTTTTATTTTATTTCGTGGCTAACTCGCATCTTGGTTGCGCGATAGAGGGAAGTGGACGGATACGAAGGGACGGGTGATCGCCAAAGTTCTTCCTGCTATTGGAGGTGATCAAGGATACACTGATAAGGAGGGAATATTCCACGTAGGTTAGTCAATGCTTTCTTTCCCCCCTTCCCGTCCTTCCGTATCGTTGAAATATTTGCATTTTACATTTTGCATACATACAACATAAGATATCCGACAAACCATCCAATTCGTGAGCGATGGAAGGTTCGGTTACGTGCAGTTGACAGGCTACAAGAGGGGTGCCTATGCCAGCACCACCGTGTCAGTCGAGTCATCTCTTTCCTACAGGGGGTTTCCATCGTAGCTGACCCGGACTCTACACGTGCATGCCTGGTTTATACAGATCCGTCGAGACAGACTCGGCCGCTAATCTCAAATTTAACAACCAGATCTTTTACGCCCTCGGTTCATTCTCCGGTAACATCCTAACAGGTTCTATTTGGGCATTGGTGAGTTTTGAACTCCCGGATTCGTCAATCAATCAATCCGTCCCGCTCCTCTTCACCCCGCGCGCGCAACTCCTTTTTTGCTCATGGACAACATCCTATTTTGTAAATAGGGACCATCTGCACCTCCCAAGATTATGTAACGATCAAGTGGTTGAGAAGCGAGCGACCGTTTTTTTTGTTGCGCCCCTTTGTGTAAACCTGTGCATGTGTGTTCCAAAATAAATAAATAAAAATAAAAAATCGGGGCTTACTTTTGTAAATATTCATCCATGCAGTACACTTGCATTTCTTGACCTTAGTGTCTCTTCGATCAAATTTGTTTTCATTACATGTTGCAAGGCGGTGGTACAACATGCATGATTTCCTTGATTACACCTCATGCAATGGGCGCGTCTAAGAAGGATGAGTAGATCGATCACTGCTTTGAATTGTGCGTGGTGGCTTCACGATTGAGGATATCTAGCTCGATTTTGCGCCAGATGTGTGTATATGAGAAGCATAGTCAGGTCAACAACGGTCATTGCACAACTACTAACTACTGTGTGAATAGATAGCTTCACAGATGAATGACTCGAATTGACCACACGGTTTCAAAGAGTAGTAGGTACTTGTGCTTCCATCCCGGTTGACATCATGTGTAGTACACGCCAAAATCAATAATGCCAGGGCTTCTCGCTTAGTGGACGTTCTTTCCAAGGGACCAATCATCATGCATTCAAACCAATGGACAAAGGGTCCCAAACGGACGTTGAAAAGCCTAAAATGGATATTTTTTACAAGAGGCACAAAGTGCAAGCACACGGGCAAAAGAACGCTGCCTTGTCGCGGGGCATAAGAACGCCCTCCATCATCATAACGGACGTTCACTCTTCCTTACTCGGGGACCCCAGGCGGACCCTGTTGTGTGGAAAAAAAGGATTTGGAATGCATGAGGGAAAAAAAAAAAAAAAAAAAAAGCAGTTAACCTGGGGTGGGGGATCCGAGATTGAAATCCGATTTCGACTTACCACCGCCCAGATAGGAGCTGACACGCCAGTACTGACGAAGCCGCCAAGGGCATACAAGATTTGGTTGTTCCATTTCTGGTGATCGGCCGAGTCTGTCTCAATGGATCTGTAATCGAGCAAAAGAAGGTCAAGTCAGCTACGACGCCCCCTTCCCAAAGGAATGGTGTGAAGAGATGATGTGCGTGAGTGAGACTGACATGGTGCCGGGACCTTTGGTTTTAATTCTGAAGCCTTTCAATTGGACGTAACCGTACTTTCCATCGCTCACGAATTGTATGGTTTGTCGAACATCTATTTATCAATGGGATGGCACGGTCAGTCACGATTTTTTTGTGTTCATTTCAGTTGGGGGGGATCCGGAATTGCTGCACAAATCGGAGCAAGCGACTAACCTAGATGGAAATTGTTTTTCTTGTCCCAGTACCCTTGCTCTCCACCGATGTTAGGAAGAACCTTGGCAATTACGTGTCCCTTCGTATCCGTCCAATTCCCTCTGTGTAGAGGCAAGAAGAAATTCAGCAACTCTAGTAGTTTCACTATCCCTCAAAAAAGACATACCCGAGAAACCTGACGCTGACCCTTTGCGTCCCAGAAATGTTGACGGGATGGAGCTTCTTGAACTCGTAATCGAAGTTCAGGCGTCCCCAATACTCATATGGGAGGAGGGGTTCACTCGCGGGATCAGACAGCAGCCCCAAGTTGTTCGCAACTAAACCCTGATCAACCTCGAATGGTGAAGGGGCAGTAGAGCTGAGACCGATGTATGCAAGAACATGTAAAATAGTAGAGAAGACCATCTCTCTATCGCGAAGCTTAGTAGAGCGGGGGATGGGATGAACTATGGACAAGAAACACCCTTTCAACGGGGCGCATTATAGCGATGGATTAAATTGATGATCTGGAGACTCGTCTCCGACGCTGACGACCAGCCTGAGGGTCAAACCCTTCAGCAGAAAAAAAAAGTGTGTGATAAATCCACAAGTAGACAGTTGTCCGATGTCACATTTGCGGGATCGACATCCCACAGCTCCTTTTTTCAGTAAGGGTGGCAACGATCCGGCACTCGTGGCCACTGGGGTTGTTTCTCACCCTCCCCTTATGTGAAAAGAACAGGGACCAAGGCTGGTGTCCTGTCCATTCGCTGCAGGTCCAGTCAACTTGCGCGGCCGCCACGGCAAGCGGGTACTTGAATGCATTAGTAGGGTAACTCTGGCAGCGCAAGATTTTGGGATGTTTGCATTTAAGAATCAACCTGGGGCGACCGCAACGTCGTTAAACTAGACTAAGGATAGTGAAAGAAACCCCCACCGTCGTGCTAAGCAAATGTAGACAACATCAGCAAAAGTCGGGTCACAGATTCTCACGGGTCGCCGATCGCACTATGCAAGTTACTACGCTCACAACCTCTTACGACTAGATAACCTTGGGTGCCAAATCCACATTCCTCCCGTCCCTTATTCTTCGTATCCCCCTTGCTTCAAGTCGTATTACTACACCCTCCTAAGCGGGTCAGTTGATGACATGAACTGAATTTCGTTCTATCAACAAAGATTCCAAAGGGAGGTCCAAGGTTAGTTTCAGTTCAACAGCGTTTATTGTTCGTCATGTGCTCATTTAGGATCTATGTGTTGTGTCATTTTTGGTTTCTAAGCGTTATACCCTTTACCAAGGCAGGCTTCGTTTTTGCTATCTTTAGCGCAGGCTACCACGTCGAACTTGCTGGGGGAGGTCATTAAAATGCTGCTGCTGTTCACGCTAAGGTTGCCGAGGTCCAATGTATGGAGTTGGTATCACTTTGAATTCTTTATACATCAACCCCCGCCAGTTTGGATTCCAAGGCAAGGGCTGAAGCGCGAGGGCTTGCCCATTGGAGGTCTCTGCGCTGCTGCGGGTATTCCTAGCACTGAGAAAGCTGCTGAAATCATCGATGCACTTCGCGTCGCTGCTTCAAGTCTTCATTTCCTTGTCATTTTGCAGTGGACTGGCGGTCGTGCGGGTGGGCACCACTCCTGTGAGGACTTCCATCAGCCTATCATATGGTGCCATTCGTCAGCAACACAACATTTCGCTTATGGCTGGTTCCCGGTTTCGGAGACGCTGAGAGTACATGGCCGTATATCACTGGTGATTGGTCCGTGGAAGGGTGTGGCGTCCAGCCAATGTCTTTCGGTGGTATTCTCTTCGCTTCGTGGGTTATGATAGCCAAAGAGGCGCACACATCCGATTCTGTTAAGGAGCTTATTGTTAAGGCGGGAAGGGACGTACCAGAAGGAGACCGGTGGCATCCTTACTGTGCAGTCCGAGCTCGGGGAGCCGATTCACAAAATTGCGACTTGTGCCGTTCGGCTTTGGAAAGAGTTTGATAATACTGTGTTCAAGTTGCCAAAGGAGAAGCGTGCGGCGTGGCTGGAGCGGAATGAGGATTCTGTCATCGAGAAGCTTAATCGCGATTCCAACAAGCCTTGGTTTGCGCAGAAGAAAGATGGGGAGGTCGTGAGGGATCTTGGGGATCTGACTATGAGGAGACAGTCCTTCGGCCCGTTTGTCTGATGTACATCGAGCACCAGAAGAGGTGGATCGACCTTACGCTTCGAAATCCCCTTGGAGACCGGCTCCGTCGTGTCGAGGAGCGATTCACGGGAGTCAATGGCACGCCGAAAGATCGATTCTGCAAAGTTATTCATCGCTTGGTGAGCCTGAGGTTTTCTTGAAGACGTTCTTTGAGATATATTCCGAATCTCAAGAGCAGTTAAAGGATACTTGTCGATTGCCCAACGGCCTGGTCAGAAGCCAGTACCTTTCATTCCTGATCTCGATGCTGGATTCGAAGTCTGGTTCAAGAAGGTGCGTACTCCCACTTTTCTTTTGAGTGTACCGGGGTATGAACTCTGCCGCTCTCAGGACTCTCTTTGGGCAGCGGAAGACATCTTCGATCAAGATCATCGATGTGTCTGGATTCTCCAGGGTCCCGTTGCCGTCAAGCATGCCAAGATCGCTAATGTCCCTATCAAGAATATGCTTGGTGGTGTCCAAGATGCAGTCAACGTAATTCTAGTTGTCAGCGCAGGGAGAAGAGAGGGCTGCTGATTCCAAAGTCCCTGGTCCGACAGTTCCCGGTAAATTCGTGCCAATAGAACGGGAGGGTGGGGAGCCCACCACATACATAGGAAGCGGGGAAGTTTTTCAGCAAGCCAGCGTGGCCTTGGCCTGCCACACATCCTGCCATGCAAGCCAAGCAAAGGGTATTCCTGGCCGAAAACAGCTTAATTTGCCAATGTATATTTAATAAGTAGATAGGCCCTGGAACCAAACCCAAGGCCGATCACGTTGTTGCTCACAACAACTTGCTTGTTCGCCTTCACCTCATCGTCTCACCTATCGACATTTCATACAACCTGGATCTTGTATCTCCAAATCCTCACTGTTTCAAATGAGACAGATGGTGTTAGATGTGCCTGTCCAGGCGCTTTCAAATGCTATTGGTCTCATGTGGAACGGTTTAGAGATTGGTTCGTACCACAAGAAGGGGATAATGAATCCCCAAAGTCAACACCTGGATGACAGTGGGACTGGGATCCCTTTCCTCGTTGTCAAGCAATCCTGCAATAACCCGGCCACGAATCTCTGGATTTTGTTCTGTTTATGTCTAGAAGGAAACTTCAGGCATTCCCCCGAAGTCTATAGTAATGGGAGTGGGTGTCATGGCCATGCATTCCGGCCCGTTCCCTGCCTGTCCTGATGCCACCTGAGCCTATTCCCGCTGTGCAAGCGCGAGTGCGAGTGCCAACCTCAGCCCTATCCTCCCTGAGGACTCCCTGCTCACTCCCCCACAGCCACACCAACCTCCCCACCCTGAGTCTGCCTCCAGCACCGTGCCGAGTGTGACTCCTCTACCCTGCCCACTTGGCCCCACTACCATTCCCGCACCCGACTCTGGCCCAACCCCAAGTCCAGCACTGCTACAATACCCATCACCGCTATTGCGGCCCTATGCTCCTTCCTTTATTTATCTGTTATTGTTTGTTTTGACCCTCAGTCATTGCTGGCTGCTGTGCAGCCAACCCCGCTCTTTGTTCCCTTTTGCTTCCAGACCCTTTGGCCTTCGGCCTGGGTCCGCTTCCATTCATTCTTTCTCCCTATATATATCCTGTATGATACTTTATTGTACCTTAGCTCTAATATCGATTTGACCATGACCCCCAAGTCCTGACCCCAGCAAGGCAACCCCAGTGAGTCTGAAATGAGGGCCAAGAGACAGCTAGGGGGCACAGCGCTCCTTTAGAGTCGCTGAGGCCAAATGCCCTACCCTCAGGCCTTGTTCATGGCATCATGGCCATCGTGGCATATAGCAGCCCACAACAGCGATCTTTGGTGCCAACCCTGGACCAGTGTCTAACAGTGGGATGAGAAACAATTGATGTGATACCATGAAAATCTGTCGAAGCAAGTTTCCTTGCTAAGTGCTAGAGGGCAATCCTTTTCAATTGTGGGAGTGAGTGGATAGAGCCCCTTAATGGCCAATAATTCTATGACTCCTGCTTTGCATTCTTTGTGCATGTTGACTTCTTGACAAACTTCGTACATCTGAGTCTCATGGTTGGGCTGTGAAGGGATTTTCAAATACCACAAGACAACAGCATACTTTATTGCAGTTGCATCAGGATGTTGCAAACACTTGCATGGTTGGATAATGAGGCATACCTCAGCTGGGCAATAACCTGACATATTTTGTAAGCCTGGACTCATGAGGTCTGTGAACTGCTTACGATGGATCTGTCAGGGACGCGTCCGGGGTGGAGGGGGCCCAGATGTAGCACCTGGCAGAGGGACCCTCTCGGGGAGCGAAGTGGGCGCACATACTGATGGGCCCGATCTGGGACTGTAGTCCCTGGCCACTTAGACTGAAGTGGAAAACGTGAGAAGAAGGTTACTTCTTCAGTTCCCACTTCAGGTACATTTATGTACATGCAGCTTGGGTCACATGACAGGTGCCACATCATCTATGGAGAGAGCCGCAGCCATCTGGGTATCCCTGCAGGGGATCCTGAGGGCATCTGCTGCAGGCGCATGTGCTAGGCATAGCGGGAAGTTGTCTGGGGTGTCTGAGCCGGATGGGTCAACAGTACAATGATACAAGGGAAGGTGGTCTGTGTAAATAGAAAGAATAAACAGAAAGGGAGAATGAAATAAAGGAGAAAGAGGAAAGAGGGAAAAGGGAGGAAAGGGAAGAGGGGGAAGAGGGAGGATGGAGGATGGAGGAAGGATGGGTAGTGGGGAGCGGGTGAGGTGGGCCCGGGTGGGCCTGGGTGGAACCAGGTCAGGCAGGTGTGCCCTGACAGGATCCCTGAGAGCATGGGATTGACTTCAACAATGATGGGAGTGAAGTGGGAATTTGCAATATATGAGGTGTACTCCTCAGGTGAATGGTTGTTGATTGGGGCAATGGAAAGGTGAAAATAGGTCCAAACATCAAGGTATTGGAATGATGATGGCAATTGTTCAATGTTATATTCCCATATGCATGCTGAAGTACCATTGTCACCTAGTTCCAGCATCCAACAAATAGCTGAACCTAGATGTGGAACAGAAAACCTTTGTGCGAGCTTGGAAGTATGCATTGCATACATATGTGGTTTATGTGAGATTTTAATGTGTGCTGAATATAGTTGTGTTGTGAGGTGGGACACCTCAGCTTGGCTTGTGTCTGTTGCTGATGATGCAGAATGAGGGTTGGTAGCATGGATCTTTAAATCGATCAGTACTCAAGGCAACCTTCCCATACAGGAGATTTGCTCTTACCCCAACCTGGTGCTGTTCATAAAGCTGGCGCAGACTGAGACAGTCCTAGATGTCAAGATAATTCAAGATTTGTTGATCAAAGTTGCATCAATTAGATGCTTTATATGGGTTTTTGCACATCTGGATATGCAGTGATTCAGGAGTTTCAGTAGAGAAGTTGTCAGGAACACCAAGTTGGTATGAGTTTTCAATATAATGGACAAGAGCATGCAACTTTGGGATTCTAAGGTGTTCTTTTGCTCCCCTCATGCCACTCTGAACGAAAATCCCCTTATGGGCATGGAAACTTCCCAAGTGTGCAGCCATTGTCTCTATATTGGCTTCCGAGACATATGGGTAGTGTGCCATGAAGATGTAATCAACAAGTGATCAGATGGCCACAAGAACCTTTCTGTTGGTGAAGGAGAGAACGAAGGAAGGTCAGTTGGGAGGTTCAAACGAGACCACCACCAAGCTGTTCCCTGGTTCTTTAGTTAGGATGGGGAAGTGTGCTAGTATTGTTTATTGTAAATATAGTACCAATCCGAGTGCTTTGGCTAATTCTATTTTTATGGGTTAGTTTTAAAGTTCCTGGGAATTTACTTACAGATAAACCGAGCCCTGTGGAGCTGTTTCTTTATTGAAATTTCTTAATTTGTCTAGGTGTAATTCTGTGTAGCGTTGTTTAATTTGGATTTAAACTTGAATTTAATCTTCTACTTGGTGAAGTTTCAAAGATTCTATTCAGTTAATGGATTTGGATTGTGTCTGGAGTGTCCCTTGGGTTTGTTTTATTTTTGTCTTATTTTATTGCTTGTTTTTAACAGTAGCAAGATAACTGTTTTGTGTTTACACTTTGAAATCTGGAGTGTTAACCAGCTCTCCTGTTGAAATATTTACTTAATATTTCTCTCCTGAATTGCTGCCTTTTACTACAGTGGCAATCTTAACTGTATTTCACTTTTTCGCACTGGAGAGTTCAAATGTTTAACAGATCTCATGGTCTTTATGAGACTGGATGCACATTAGAAGCTCATTGTAGTCAAAAACTTCCATTGGAACATACTCCATCTTTCCATCCAGATTGGACCATTGGAATATATAGTGAGCACACTTGATGGGGTCATGATAATAAAATGTTTGTGGCTCATTTGGGGCATCTGGTAACATGACAATCTCAGATTTCCATGCTGGTGGGCCAACTGTATCCTTCACATTACTTCGGTGGGTGGAAAACTTGGCAGAGTAGCATGATCTTTGACCTAACTGGAGTTGAGTCTCATTTCACTTAATACTGAAGGACGAACTTGACATACCCACTCTAATGTTAGGAAATCATTGATATCACTGCGCAACAACTGGTGTGTGCTCAACCAATGGACAAGCTCCCACTCTTTCTTTGACATTGCAAGCGGGAAAGGAAGGCAAGACCACAGTAAAGGGCTCACCTCTCTTCAGCTGCTCCCTCACCAAAGGGAAAGAAGAAGGGGGGTGGAAAGGGCACCTAGGGTTTCAGACTCACTGTGACCCCAGTCCCGACTAACTCAGCCTAAAAATCTCAACACTAGGTGGACCTCCCTGGAAGACAAGCTAGCAGTACTGCCTGCAAAGCACTGTCCCCAAGACTACAAGCACTCAGACACCACCCCAGGCACACAGACCTAGTACTTAGCAGAGCAGAGGGGAGAATCTCTGTATCATACTAGATACATCTTGTATATAAACCCAAGTTATACTGAGCTAATGTCCGAGCAATCTGACGGTGTTAGGGATGGATAGAAATGGACAGAACAACATAGAACAAAGGAAACAACAGAAAACATAAAAATATATAGGAATGGCCACACAATCGATAAACTCCGACGATCTCCACAGCGGCTGCACCAAATCTCCCGATATTAGACTCGTTCTACTTGTCTTGATGGTAGCTTTCCAACAATACCAAGTGCGTCCGGATCGGAGAAGAACTGGGGGAGTTATGGTGAAAATACTGTGAAAGCAGCCTGGTAACATGTCCGGGTGGGCTGTAACTGTCATATCCCGGAATCCCGACCCCACGCACTCCCACCACACCACACCTTCCTAACAACCTCACCATCCCCTACACCATGCCTCCCCACTCCCCAGGTCACCTTCCCTCCTGACTGTCTCAGCTCCAGTCTGGTTGCGGCACACCGAACCTTGGCCACTCCCATCCCGGAAGCTCGGTCCCGAGTCGGAACATTTGGAGACCCCGGATTTGCTCCGATATCCTGACGGACCTCCAACATCCTGTGACATGCCCTTAAACCATTCCTCCACCCATTTCATTTATTTGAGTCACCTAACATCCTTTGGATACGCAACTCCGCTTTCAGAGCTACCCGCATCCTTCAGTGATCTCCCTCATGTTATCACTTATTAGTCACCTTCCATTCTTAGCACGACTACCTTCTTCCTACCATTCAGTCGGCTAACCCCCTTTACCCATTTGTCTTCCCCATTCATTTTCCGGCCTCCAACTCCGCCCCCCTTGGCCTGACACCTCGGTTCCCCGTTTAAGATATCGTTCAGGACCTTTTGGTACCTCTCGGTATCATTCGGCACCTTTTGGTGTTGCCCCATTGTCATTCGGACTTTGACTAAGTCCTTCCCATTCCCCTTTATAAATTAGAACCTGTAGTTCCTCAGTTCTAATCTCAACTAAAATGCCACCCAAAGTCCCTCTGAGTGAATCCCATTCCTGTTCTACAAGATACTTCAGACATAAGAAATACAAGGACTAACTGAGACGTAACAGAGGCACAGCGCTCCCTCCGAGTCGCTGAGGCTGCGTCCTTCTTAGAGCCTCTTGTACCACCCAGCAGAACCAGGCTCCCTGAGAAGCTTCGGTTCACTACCGGAGCCCTCGGACCCCCCTCTGGTTGAGCCTCGCCTGCATTCGGACTCACGCATTTACCCTACGATCCGGGTTTTCGACAGTAACCTGGTCTGAAAAATTATCAAAAAATACAACGATGATAGGGGAGGTTCAACGAGCTTTGAGGGACTAGGGGACTGTGTGTCAGGCGCTAGGTAATGTCTGTAGGCCATGATATAGTGGTGTCAGGGTACTACCAGCGTTTCCCTCCTTCAACGTTGTTGTGGGGACAACTCCGTGTACCGCAAAAAGTCGGATTCTGCGGAATTTGGCCACCAACATATACCACATACCCTCTGACACTCCCGATGTTCATTCTATCACTATCCAACACTCCATACACTCATTCCTTATTTTTCCTTATTTTCCCCATCATTCCCGACAACCCCAAGCAAAATTCCCACGCCCAACCACGCCGCCAATTTCACCCCCTCTCCACATCTCAAGAACCACTGCACCAATTGGGACGAATAAGGGCTCGTTGGAAAGCTGGAGACGAGGAGGTTGCTGACGGGAGGATAGGCGGGTGCTGTGGCGAACTGTTGCGGAGTTAATCTTCACAATTCCCATTTCGGACCCGTTGTCACATTTTCCCCATTCACTCATATTTCTTTTATTGTTTCTTTGTTCCCAATTGGATATTCATCATTTACGGTTGCCTAACGGCCCGTTTACATTCCCCCAGTCCATTCATTTCATTCCCAACATATATAAACTAGATAACAGCTTGTACATAACAAGTTAGTATTGAATAGACCCGTGAAAGAGAAAGTAGCAGTTGCATCCAAGTGGCAAAGACGCCATCCACGACCCTAACGCCCCCTCTGAGCTAGTTGCTCACGTCTAAGACCCCTCACATCATAATACTCAGCCTTGACGTCCAAGAGAGACGTAGGTGAGTGTTTGTTTGAGGTTTTTGCAGACTCAGTAGCGCCCACGGACCAAGACCCGGCCTCACGAACCACACCCGCGCACACTACCACCCTCCCCCTTCTCTCTGTCTCGAGTCTAGGCGATAGACCCGTTACAACGTCCAAGGTGCATATGGCTGGCCAGCCTTCTCCTGATTTTGAAAGCATTCCCACAAAGTTTCCTGATGTCTGGGGAAGATGAATCCAGCATTTCCTTCATCATGTATGACCCAGAACCTCTGCCCAGTGGCATCTGGTGTGCTGCCCATTGTCAGAGACTGGATGTGGGATGAAGGAGAAGTCCCCATGGTGGAGGGCTTTGGCCTCAGTGACTTAGACCAGGAGCACTGTGCCTAGTTACATGTCTGTGCCCTAATTTACTAACTGGAATGAGAACTTAGAAGGGGGAAACTCTAGTCGATTTTATCACTGGGGTGTAGCCTATCTACAAGTTATGTATATATAGTTACATAGAGGGTGGGCCCATGAATGGTGGGACTGAGCGGAGTGGAGCTAATGGAGTTAAATGTTAGCTGACTGAATATTACCAATGAGTCAGGTTATGGGGTTAGCGGAGTGGCAGGCTATAACCCAGAAATGGAAAGGAGGGATTGGTCTGAAGGTAGGCTTGCAGGGCAAGCAAGTGAATTGCCCAGCAGAGGTGGGAGTTGTCATATCCCAGAATCCCGACCTGCACTCTCCCACCACACCACACCTTCCTAACAACTTCACCATCCCCTACACCATAACTCCCCACTCCCCAAGTCACCTTCCTTCCTAACTGTCTCAGCTCTGGCCTGGTGGTGGCTGTCAGGGCATGCCCGCCTGACCCTGCGCCGCACCCCACGCCATACCGCACTACCCCGCTATCACTCCCTGTCTCCCCTCCCCCACTTTCCCCTCTCTCTCTATCTCTATTTCTATTTCTATTCTACAGTCGATTCCCCTTTCTCTATGTACCACTACATACTTAACCCTGCCCCCCCGATCGCTGCACGCACCGTGCACACTCCTGCTTACTGAGCGGCCACCTCCAGGATCTCCCATGGAGACACCCAGGGAGGTGCAGCTGTGTGTGGAGGTGATGTGGCTCCCTCCACGTGACCCTAGCCACATGTATATAATAGTGCCTGGGGTGGGAACAGAAGAAGCAGCCTTCTTCTCAACTTCCCACTTCAGTGGTCAGGGATGCTCACCCTGCGATGGGATTGCCGCTACACACAGCCGCTACTCGTCCCACTGAGTCCCGCACGCAGGGACCTCACTGCTTTCAGAGCTGTCCCTGACAGCAGAAGAAGGCTTCAACCTCATCTCCCCCGCCTCCCCTGCTATGGTGACTGAAGAGCAGTACAATGAACTGCTGTCCCGATTCCATGAGCTCCAGGCCATCGTAGAAAGCCAAGCTCAGAACCAACCTCCAGCCGTGCCCACACCGGTGCCGGTTCCCGCACCAACACCTGCACCCGCCCCCAGAACCAAACCGCCCAAAGTTGCCCCCCACTGCCTTCTCTGGAGCAGCCGAAGACCTTGACCGCTTCAAGGCCGAATGCGGGATATATTTCCATGTCCGAGCAGCGGAA